GGCCCAGCGGCAGGCGTCACTGTAGAGCCCACGGCTCCTGCCCAGGAGAGAGTAGATGCCCGTGTCCTGCTGGGGCTGTCTCTGCACCTCCTTGGCCCAAGGTCTTTACCTCCCTTTGCAGGGGAAGACGTGGCTCCAGCCCTCCCATGGGCTGGCCCCGCACATGGCCTCCGCTGCCGTGCTGTTAGTCCTCGCCACCTCTGTTTTCCTTCTGGTCCATGTAGCTGTGACCTGGCTGAGACCCTTGAATGCTTTAAAGTCCTTTCCCTGCCATATCTTTGTGTTCTGGAGCCAGGCAGGTGTGTCTTCACTTACGTCCCTTCTGCTGCTTGGGGACACCCTCTTAACTCCTTGTCATATTTGCCAAAATCAAGTTTCTCAATTTATTTTGTTTTTGGATTTTGATTGTCACCTTTTAATAGAAATTTTGTATTTAAAAAATGTATTCTCAGCTGGGCATGATGGCTCACGCCTTTAATCCTAGCGCTCTGGGAGGCCGAGGCAAGAGGATGGCTGAGGCCAGGAGTTCCAAACCAGCCCGAGCACGAGTGAGACCCCGTCTCTACCAAAAATAGAAAAATAAGCTGGGTGTGGCAGTGCACATCTATAGTCCCAGCTACTTGGAGGCTGAGGCAGGAGGATGGCTCGGGCCCAGGAGTGGAGTTTGCAGTGAGCTTGATGACGCCACAGCACTCCAGCCTGGGCGACAGAGAACTTGTCCCTAAAGAAAAAAAATGTACTCTCAGATATTGATCTTGCGTGAGTGTATGTGTGATTCTCTCCTCCTTTTACGGCATAACTCTGCTGGAGGCCCAGTGACTGCCACCCAAGCAGCCTGTCCCTGCCCCGTCCTTAGGTGGACCACGCGGCGGCGGTGAAGGAGTACAGCCGGTCCTCGGCGGATCAGGAGGAGCCCCTGCCGCATGAGCTGCGGCCCTCGCTGGTGCTAAGCAGGACCATGGACTACCTGGTGACCCAGATCATGGACCAGCAGGAGGGCAGCTTGCGGGACTGGTACGACTTCGTGTGGAACCGCACACGGGGCATCCGGAAGGTATCATCCGCCTCCGATCTGGAGACTAGAAAATGCACGTCAATTCCAAAGTCAAACTGATTGTTTTCCTTTTACTCAGTCATACGTCATCTGTAATAAAAACATACTTTTATTTAAACCATTACAAAGTCCTATTAAAATGTGCTTCATGGGCTTTGTTTCAAATTGAAACGTGAGAGGTTTGGGTGATAAGCATGATTTTTCTCATAGTTGACTCTGTGCGTGGGAAGGTGCGTGTGTGAGCAGCGTGTGCCGGTGTGCCCTGTGCCTCCGTGTGTGACCCTCTCCTCACCTGTGGCCAGGACATCACGCAGCAGCGTCTCTGCGACCCCCTGACGGTGTCCCTGATCGAGAAGTGCACCCGGTTCCACATCCACTGTGCCCACTTCATGTGCGAGGAGCCCATGTCCTCTTTTGATGCCAAGATCAACAACGAGAACATGACCAAGTGCCTGCAAAGTCTGAAGGAGATGTACCAGGACCTGCGCAACAAGCGCGTCTTCTGTGCCAGCGAAGCCGAGTTCCAGGGCTACAATGTTCTGCTCAATCTCAACAAGGGAGACATCCTAAGGTGAATTTTCAAAATCCAAAGTTGGCCTGAAGCCTGAGCAACACAGCAAGATCTCATTTCTATAAAAAATAAGAAAAATTAGCTGGGCACGGTGGTGGCACCTGTAGTCCCAGCCACTCGGGGGGCCGAGGCAGGACGGTCACTCCAGCCCGGGAGTTGGAGTTTGCTGTGAGCCACGATGATGCCATTGCACTCCAGCCTGGGCGACAGAGCGAGATCCTGTCTCAACAACAGCAACAACAAAGTTGGCCTAAGATGTATGAAGAGGCAGAATTTAAACAGGAAAGAGCTTTTGCGGTTAGTGGCAGCGACGGTGCTGAGCTCTCTCTGGCTGCAAATGTTGGGCTGATAGTGAGAGGCCTTGGGCGGGGGCTGTGCCGTCTGCCGGGCTGAGCAGGAGAGCGCAGTGCCGGTGGGCACTGGCACCAGCACATCCGATGTGGGCCCGGACACACGTCTCTGGGAACTGTGTCTGCTCGTCAGTGCGGGGACCGGAGGGAGGAATCCTCCCAGAGGGAGAAGTAAGTGAACCAGGACAGGGACGCTCAGGGTGCCCTACCAGAATTGTCGGCAATTCTCTGTTTCCAGATAGTTTTGTCAAAGATCTAAGTAATAAGAGAGGAAAAAATTGTGTGAAATGAAAATGCTAAAAATGGAGTATTAAGAATGAATGGTTTTAAATTCTGGTTTTGATCCTTAAGCAGACATTTAT